AGAGAGAACAAATTCAGTTGCTCTAACCTTTCCTCATAGCTGAGCTACTCCAGGCCTCTTATCAGTTTGGTTGCCCTTCTCTGTACTTTCTACAGTTCCCCAATGTTCTTTTTGTGAATTGGTGTCCAAAATTGAACTGCATATTCCAGATGAGGTCTTACTAATGATTTGTACAGGGGTAATATGATATCTCTCTCTCTGGAGTCTATACCTCTTTTAATACAAGAGAGGATTGTGCTCGCTTTAGAAACTGCAGCTTGGCATTGCATGCCATTATCAAGCTTGTGTTCTACCAGAACGCCCAGATCCTTCACCACTGATTCCCCCAGTTGTTCTCCCCCTAGTATGTATGATGCATGCATATTCTTAGCATCCAAGTGCATAACCTTACATTTATCAACATTAAACCTCATTTGCCACATAGTTGTCCAGATAAACAGTACATTGATGTTGGCTTGTAAGCTGGAGACATCCTGTAATGCACTTGCATGCAAGTTACACACTGGGAGGAGAACCTCTGGAAAAATTGAGGATAAAAAGAAACTGGGGGTTCTAGCAGATACTATTAGCACGCATTTTAAAAGGGTATTTACTCAGGTCTGGTCACCAATGCTCAGGAAGGATGTGCTTGAACTGAAAAGAGTTCAGAGAAGGATAAGAAAGATAAAAAAAGGGCTGGAGGACCTCAGTTATGAAGAACAACTACAAACTTTAAAATGATTCTCCCTGAAGAAGAGATACTCTGGAGGGGATATCACTGCAATATACAAATCCTTGAATTGGGAGGGAACTTTTTAATTTTAGGTTTGTAAAAAAAAAAGAGATGCATACACACAATAAAGTTGGATAATAAGTGGTTCAGTCTTGGGCCTCTTGCACACAGGAGTAAAAAAACACATTTTTTTTACTGATTTGAAATTAGATGCATTATTTTCTATGGAACCATGTACACAGCTGAGTAAATATCAGTAATACAGCATTGCGTACAGAGCCATAAAACAAAATCAGAAAATTTTACATTTGAGTGCAGTAATTTAGGCATTTATAAGCATGTTTACATGAGTATAAATGGTATATTACAACTTTGGCAATAAAGAAGAATTTCACTTGTCTATACGCTTACACATGTTTACACAAGGTCTTTATAGAACATTTTAGGATCAGGATTTTTCAGTGAACAAGATCCCGAGTATAAATATCAGCAAATTATTACACCTGTGTTTAACTGGCCTTAGCCTAGGTTCACACTTGAGCATTATTCAGACCGTTTTCCAGTTTGCAGAAAAACACTATAGTCCATTTAACATGGTTTCCTATGGATTAAGTTCACATTGTGCATTTCAAGACAATGCATTTTTTTGGAAAGTGTCAGGGACTTTAACTTACTTGCAGTTAACAGTTACTGGTAACCCGAACCCAAAAGTGTCATACTTCCCTATTGACAAAAAAAAAGGGAAACGCATCTAAAACGCAAGTTCAAAAATGCAAAATGTACCAGAAAAACACATCAACCCCAAATTGCACAGGTGTGAACCTAGCCATAAACTATGTAAGGGGTTATTTACTATTAGGGCAGAAAGGATGTGGAATTCGCTTTCACAATTGGTGGAGTCAGCGGAGAGTGTAGTTAAGTTCAAAAAGCTTTTAGATGTGTTCCTTAGCAAACACAATGTACAGGGATATGGAGAACAGTAGCCGCACACACCTTACCAGTTATATGTAACTATGAGATGCCCCTTGCCTCTATGGTAACAGAATCTTACAGAAGGAGTAGCCTACACTGTACCCAGGGCTAAATTTTTTAAATAGGAAGCATATTCTCTGTCAGAAAATAAATGACATTGAGCTGTCCCTTTAAGGCGAACACAATCACGAATCCATTGTGTACAAAAAAATTATTCAAAAAGTGACAAATAATATATACAGTGACAGACAGGCATAAAGTCTGCCTGTGTTACACAAAAGAAGTGACTGAAAAATATTCAACAGAAATAACTCATAAAAACACAGGTGCTAACATGTATCCAATAGTAACCAAAACAAGTCCATTAAAAAGCTGCTGAGTAACTCAGTGCTCAACTCCAATGTGATCCCAATAGTGATTCATCACCAAAACACAGTGACTCCTTACCAGTGAGTTAGACCCCTGCCACCAGAAAGTCTAACAGCACTTATGAGGATCACAGTGAAGCCATGAAGGATCATTTTCTACCATGTAAGGTCTCTCCAACCAACTCAACAACATTAAATAAAGAAGAACAGAAATATTCTATAATGTATTTTAGAAATATTCCATTTATTATAGAGAAAGGTACTGCTGGAATAGCTCAAGCCAAGGAATCTCACTATTAGGTGATGGATTTATTTTTTGTACCTGTGATTTGCAGAATCAAACACTTTATTGCACTCATTAGGTGTCTGATCATATTCTATGATAACTCTTTTTTAACTATGATTGGACTACCTAATTTAGTATTGATGCACTACATAGGTTGATTTGTGAGCAGAATCTTGTTTTATTATACAGTTACTATCGTTTTCCAGTTCTCTATTTTTTTTACCAGGATCAACTTCTGATGCCTTCCTCTTCTTGCACTGTAATAGACAGGTATCAGATGGTCTGTGACTGGACACCTCCTTACTAAAAAGTAAGGTTGGTGTACTGTAGAAGGGTCAAAATATTAAAGGGGTAGCAAAGTCAACAAACAAAAAAAAAAAAAAAACTGTCCCCCTGCAAGTTAATGCCATAATGTGCTTGTATACGTTGCATACTAGCTTTTAATGAAATATTTACCTGAAAAATCAAGCCCTCCAACACTGCGTTTTCACTGCTGACAGGGTTTTCATCTTCCCCCAGTCTTCGTTCGCGAATTGACCACACATTCACTGTGCCCTCAATTCAGAGAGCAGCGCGAATGCACCAGTGAATGGCTCACTGGCTGCAAAACAGGTGAATATCTTGTAAACGGTGTAAAAAGGGGGGAAAATGTCAGTGCGTCTTATGGAGCGGCCAGTCCGGTATTTCCACCGCGTCAGAATACCGAGCGGGCCACTCAATTCTGCAGCAGGACCTTACCTGTTCCTCGGTCCATCGCTGCGCAGTCTTCCTTCCCGCACCGGCTTCTTTAGTGTGAGCTCTCGGCTTGACAGCCGGGTGCCCAGTGCGTATGCGCGAGTAGCGCTACGCTTGTGAATGGTACAGCGTCTTCTGGGACACATGACAGGTCCCAGAAGACGGCGGACCAATCACAAAGCGCAGCGCTTCTTGTGCATGCCCACTGGGCACCCGGCTGTCAGCCGGGTGCCCACACTAAAGAGAGGACAGCTCCGCGGAAGTGGGAACGGGTACCTGTCAAATTTAGGTACCCACTCCCCCTCCCTCCCCAAAGGTCAGCAGTCTTCCCCTGCACTGTCCGCAGTCTCTTGGTCATCCCCTGCACTGTCCGCAGTCTCTTGGTCATCCCCTGCACTGTCCGCAGTCTCTTGGTCATCCCCTGCACTGTCCGCAGTCTCTTGGTCATCCCCTGCACTGTCCGCAGTCTCTTGATCATCCCCTGCACTGTCCGCAGTCTCTTGGTCATCCCCTGCACTGTCCGCAGTCTCTGGTCATCTCCTGCACTGTCCGCAGTCTCTGGTCATCTCCTGCACTGTCCGCAGTCTCTGGTCATCTCCTGCACTGTCCGCAGTCTCTGGTCATCTCTTGTACTGTGTCCGCAGTCTTTGGTCATCCCCTGTACTGTCCGCAGTCTCTGGTCATCCCCTGTACTGTCCGCAGTCTCTGGTCATCCCCTGTACTGTCCGCAGTCTCTCTGGTCATCCCCTGTACTGTCCGCAGTCTCTGGTCATCCCCTGTACTGGGTCCGCAGTCTCTGGTCATCTCCTGTACTGGGTCCGCAGTCTCTGGTCATCTCCTGTACTGGGTCCGCAGTCTCTGGTCATCTCCTGTACTGGGTCCGCAGTCTCTGGTCATCTCCTGTACTGGGTCCGCAGTCTCTGGTCATCTCCTGTACTGGGTCCGCAGTCTCTGGTCATCTCCTGTACTGGGTCCGCAGTCTCTGGTCATCTCCTGTACTGGGTCCGCAGTCTCTGGTCATCTCCTGTACTGGGTCCGCAGTCTCTGGTCATCTCCTGTACTGGGTCCGCAGTCTCTGGTCATCTCCTGTACTGGGTCCGCAGTCTCTGGTCATCTCCAGTACTGGGTCCGCAGTCTCTGGTCATCTCCTGTACTGGGTCCGCAGTCTCTGGTCATCTCCTGTACTGGGTCCGCAGTCTCTGGTCATCTCCTGTACTGGGTCCGCAGTCTCTGGTCATCTCCTGTACTGGGTCCGCAGTCTCTGGTCATCTCCTGTACTGGGTCCGCAGTCTCTGGTCATCTCCTGTACTGGGTCCGCAGTCTCTGGTCATCTCCTGTACTGGGTCCGCAGTCTCTGGTCATCTCCTGTACTGGGTCCGCAGTCTCTGGTCATCTCCTGTACTGGGTCCGCAGTCTCTGGTCATCTCCTGTACTGGGTCCGCAGTCTCTGGTCATCTCCTGTACTGGGTCCGCAGTCTCTGGTCATCTCCTGTACTGGGTCCGCAGTCTCTGGTCATCTCCTGTACTGGGTCCGCAGTCTCTGGTCATCTCCTGTACTGGGTCCGCAGTCTCTGGTCATCTCCTGTACTATGTCTGCAGTCTCTGGTCATCTCCTGTACTATGTCCGCAGTCTCTGGTCATCTCCTGTACTGGGTCCGCAGTCTCTGGTCATCTCCTGTACTATGTCTGCAGTCTCTGGTCATCTCCTGTACTACTATGTCTGCAGTCTCTGGTCATCTCCTGTACTATGTCCGCAGTCTCTGGTCATCTCCTGTACTATGTCCGCAGTCCATTGGTTCAGAATATTTTTTATCTTGTTTTCTGCCTCTAAAACCTAGGTGCGTCTTATAGTCAGGTGCGTCTTATGGAGCGAAAAATACGGTATCTAGTTCAGAATAACAGATTCTGGATGTAATACCAACACAACTCACCTACCTACACTTACCTGGAGCAGAACTTTGCCACTGTAAACACTCATTGGATACATTGTACCAAATGTCATCACAGCAATGGCAACAGCTGATGCAGTATCCATGGCAAAATAGTTGCTGCAGATACAAAAAAAAAAAAAAAAAAAAAACACAATTATATTGCTATGCACAGGCTCACACATGTATTGTCAGAGGATTAGAAATTAATTAGCAGATCTCATATCCATTTCAACGAGAATTACACCACAGCACATAGGAATTTTGTATTTCATACTGTTATTTCTACACAGACATAGCGTTCTCTGTTCTGCATAATGGCACCGAGCATGCAATCTACGCGTTCATTTTCTCTGCCTGTACAAGTACATGAGACTAACATGAAGTAGGATGAATAGCGCAAAATTCTTAAAATTTCAAGAGCAACTGCAAATACATTGGAGTAGGATTATGCTCAGGGATATAGACAAGCAACACAGAGTTTCCTTCACTGACTTGTGTATCACCCCATTATGTATTGAGGGTTGACATGTTAAATATAGAGGGCCATATCCTGACTGCCTGTTTCTCTTCTCTTTTAGGGCTCATGCACACTGCAGCTTCCAAAATTACATTTTGGGGGCTTTGGGCAATTTTTGGCTAACCCCCTGAACACACCTCAATCAAAGCTTATGTGTCCATGCACACGTATGTTTTTACAGGAGTTTAGGAGCAGCAGCATTTAGAAGCAGTAAAATACTCCTCTCCTGAATGCAGAAGAATCATGTTCAGGAGAGTAGCATTTTTGGCAGAAAAAAACGCTAAGCATGGCAAAAAATGCGTGTAAACGCACATTAAAGTTTGGCGCATTTAGCAGATGAGCTATAATTCATTTCAGTGGCCAGAATAGATTATTATTCTTGCCATTTAAATTATTTATTGCCCAAGCGCTTGACGCGCCTAAACATTGCTTAATTCTGCGTTTACAAGTGCCAAGTGTTTTTCTGCTGCCAGGAAAAAGGCATCTAGGGAGTTGGTTAAGAGCATCCAATGTGCATGGGGCCTTATGCTGCACTTGTGTGCAATTATGATGAAATGTAATCTTAAAAAAAATATGCAGAACTTAGGAGTAGTAAGGAGCACTTTTTAAATGCATGCAACTATGTCTGTACAATGCATACAAAAAACATAAAATCCTTTCTTGGGGTTCATTGAGGAAATTCAGAGACTGTTATATACTGCCACCTACAGGAAGTTATTGGCACTGGCAAAAAAAATAACAGTCACCAGCCTCATATAAACCCTCCTACTCCCACCATGCCTCAGTTTGGTGGAAAAGCATTACTAGGAACATACTTGTGAACGCAGAAGGGTGGCACCAGTTTCCTTCAATGAACCCTGTGAATTTTCTTTCTCGTTTACTGAAGGGTGGCTCAGGCACCAAATCCCACTCAAAGTCTGCATGTCACCAGGATGTACTTCATCTTGATCCTGTGAAGCAGACTAGAAAGGAGTTTCAGAGGAGAAAAGGCAACGATCAGAGTGTACCGAACCCAAGGAGCCACCGGAACATCCCAATGCAGTAGGAGACAACCTGTCCAGTTTGTTGTCAAACCTGGAGGTCTACTGTATGTCCGGGAACCCTTACCTTTGACAAAGGTCCTGGAAAAACATAACTGAATGCACATCGGATGACCCTCCAGCTGGGCTGTGCCAGCAGTGCAAAGACAACAAAACTGCCTGGAGTTCCAGCACATTTATCAGGAGATCAGATTCCTCAAGCATCCAAGTCACCTGCACTAACAGGGTATCAATGTCTCCTCAGCTCAAAATCCTAGAGTCTTTGGTAATGATCTTTTGTCATAATGATCTTCCAAATACTGGATTGACATGTCCCACAATGAAAGGCTGTCGACTCTGGAATAGAATCAGGCAAATTAAGTTGATGGTAGCAGTGACTTCTGGACTGAAGAGCCTAGGAGTGGAGAGCTTGAAGATTTACCTGAGGAAGGCCAACTCTAGCTTAAGCTGTATCTAGGATGAGCCCCAGACATTCAGTTCCAACACTGACTTTTCTGGATGGATCTTAAATCTTATACTTTGCAAGGTCTGGACCGTTTAGGTTACATTGTCGGTCAGAAGCTGTACTGACAACTTCATCAGTAAAAGGTCACCCTGATGCCCTGAAAGTGCAGCAAGTCTAGCACAGTGGCCAGAACCTTGGTGAACACCCACAGTATAGAAGACAAGCTGAATGGAATTGACAGCCCACAGCAAACTGAAGAAACCCTGATTCACTGGAAAAATGGGGACATGAAGATATGCATTGGAACTGTTTTGCCACAGGTATTGGGGTGATGACTCTTTTGCACCAAAAGAGCACAAGGGCTGCAAATCTGTGTGGGGCACAGGCAGGTTGGAAGAGATAAGATAGAGCTAAGAGAAGAGTTCTAGATTGTAGCTCCTGGTACTACCTCCTGTATGTAGGTATCTGAGTTGCTAGCTGTTCAGATGTCTGCAAAGACAAACAGACATTGCCCCAGTTTAAAAAGTGGGGGCACCCCTTCATGCTGAAGAGGATTTATCTGTAAGTTTGGTTGGGAGTAATGAAAGGAGCCCTTTTTGGCATGTTAGAGGAGGTGAGACTTTCCAACATGATGCCTATGTTTTTTCCTGGCCCCCAATCCTTGATGGGGTGTCAAAAGGCAGCTCCAAAGAACTGCTGATCCTCTAAGGGCAAGCGCAGCAGCCACTTTATGCATGCTTGCTCTTCAGGTCAACACTTCAACCAAAGAGTCCTGTGCATGTTTATAGGCAGAACAAACAGAGGAAACGAGACGTGAGACATCCACTAACCCATCCACACCATAGCTTAGCACTGTAGATGTGAGCTCTAATTGCTCCACAAACAACGTATCGGCTTGGAGGGAGACCAGATCTCTTCTCACAGCCTTAGTCCTGTCCACCAAAGTTTCAGAGATTAGCATCACGGCAAAAAAATAAAAAAATAACTGGATTTGTGAACTTACCATAAAATGCATTTCTTAAAAAGTGACACCCGATCAATAATTATTCTGATACAACTGGGTTATACTATTGCCTTCAAGAGGAAATGGACACTGGCAAACAACAAAGCTGCTGGTCAGACTGATATAACACCTCCCATCCTCGGCATGCTACAGGTTTGTAAAAAAGTAGCATTTAGAAGTGGATAACAGAAAAAGAGGGGTGTAAACTGTGTCCCTTGATGAATGGATCCATTTTGAAGAGACAGATTTTACAGTAAATACAAAAATGTGATATTTTCATAAATTAAAGGAATGCAGGATCAGTAGTTATTCTAATCCAACTTGGGCGTCGAAAAGCAATCCAACTGAGGGGTGAATAACACAGCAAATAAAATACCAACAGTATCACAAACAATACAGAATAAGCTAATGGGTAGCAGCCAGACTTCTTGTCCTCCCTGATGGTGGATGTACATCACTACTGTCTCGTTTACCGATTAGATCTTGATGACACTCTAAAAGCAGGATGTCCAGTGTTGTAGGGACAGCAAACTAACTCATAGATCTAAAATACTGATCAGTAGATGAGATTCCTCCATCCACCAAGTCCCGTTCACCAACAAGATGTCTAGGACTCCTTCCCGGCCACTTAGACTGCCATTGGTTGTGATGATTTTCCACAACAGCGGAAGGAAGAATTTCCCCAAATATAAAGCTGTTTTCCTGAGCTATCAGGTCAGAGACAATCTGGTTTTGGGTTTCAAGTGAGACTGAAATGACCTGTCCACAATGAAAGAATGTTGTGTTGATGGGGTCTGGAGTGAAGCTGAGCAAATAAGACTGCTTCATAGAAGGCTACAATCAAGCCCAGAACTCTCATGCAGGATCGCAGAGTTGGCAGGCTCCTGAAATAACTCATATTCATGATTCAATTGCTGGTAGCAGGAGAGGTTCAGACAGCTGGAGGTGACCAGGTCACTGTAAGCAGGCAGCTATGACCATTTGAGGATAATCCACGTGTCACTTGCAATCAGGAGCAGTGCTGAGAGTGCAAAGCTCAAGCGTGACACTCCATCTAGTAAATTACATCAGCACTTGGCTGCTTTGTGTTAACCATTTTCATATTAAACACATGGAAAAATTGAGGATGATAATGGTGCCCAATGGTCTTATTAGCAAGGTACAGTAGCTACTGATACTCAGACCAAATGGCCTACTCACAAAGTTAGTTTTCAGACAGGGTCACTCTAGAATCTGTGCCACAGCCCTGGACCCAGAAAGCACTCTATGACTAAAGCTGACAATAGATGGTTTGGATCTCAGCTGGTTCAGCAGGGACCGGCCGAGAGTCGAACCATGTATGGGCAGGCTGAATGTACCCAAGTTGATTGATCAAATTGGGTACAGCCAGCCTGTCAGGTTTTACATGCTATTATTCCTTGCGGCAATTAAAGCCACTAGCAGCAATCCCTGTGTTCTTCTGGCGGGGATGGCTCCCCTTGCCTGGAGAGCACAATAGCTCCACAGGAGGGATTCCTCCATCAATACCGACTGTGTTGATGGGGGAATCGAGCAGGAAATTGCACCATCCAGGGCCTGCTTTATGAACACAGGTCTGGAAAGTGCAAATGTGGAGTCCAGTGTCTGAAGGTTACATTTCAGGCAAACCCCGCAATCGTCCAGTCCAGCAGGGTAAAGATACTGCTAAGGATGTGTCGATCTGGATAGCCTTGCTAATTAGAGATCAGCTTAAGCAGTGTGTAGGGGAATTTTAATTGGGGAAAATGAAAGACCAAAAAAACGCTGACCTGTGCATTTTGTTTGCCAGTTTCCAGTGTAGTGTATGCAGAAGTATAACAGTTCCTGAATTCTTGTTTCCCTCAATAAACAAGAAAGAAAGACAGTTTCATAAATGTTCCCCACTGTTACATGCATTTCTGTGGTCAGGTTATAGATTTACAGTGTCCCACTGTATGGATCCTAATTCGATATGTAAAGACAATGCTACATGTCAAAGAAGAACAATAAGTTCCGGTACCTAGTCAAATACGTAAACATAAAACTTGATGAAATACAGGAGTGGGCCAAAATCCCTCCTGAGATGTGTGCAAACCTGGTGGCCAACTACAGGAAATGTCTGACCTCTGTCATTGCCAAAAAGGGATTTGACACCAAGTACTAAGTCATGTTTTGTGAGGGGGATCAAATACTTATTTCCCTCATGAACATGCAAATCAGTGCATAATTTGTTAGACATGAATTTCTTTTGAATTTTTTGTTGCTATTTTGTCTCTCAGTGTTACAATACACCTACCATTCGATTTTTAGACTGATCATTTCTTTGTGAGTGGGCAAACATTCAAAATCAGTAGGGGATCAAATACCTATTTCCTTCACTGTAGTTGAAGAATGTTAATGTTTTCTGGATTTTCCAAGCTAAATACCATACAAAATCAAGGGTCTTGGCTATCACTCACCCCTTCCTTTCAGACCTTTGACAATTCAGTTTTAAACAGAAATAAGTTTGCCAAACACCTCGCTGAAGTGGAAAGATAAATCAGACAATTCTGAGATGGACAACAAGGAACCAAAGTATCTGCCAAGGATCATTTTGTAAAGCGCTACACAAACTGTTGGCGCTGTATAAATCCTGTATAATAATAATTGTATATTAGTGTGTCTAGCTGTGAATGGTCACAGCGATCACATGCACAAGCTGGGCCAATCACAGCCCAGCTGTGTCATGTGATTAGCTGTGGCCAAATCACATCTAAGCACAAAAAAAAAAAACTCTGAATAAATCAATGTCATTCAGGTAAATGCTTGCTTATAGCAAAGTAATTCTTTGCTATAAGCAAATTGTGTAAAAAAAAAAAAATTCCAATCACTTCCCCAAAGTAGTACAATGTTACTATGGTAACATTGTACTACTTTGTTCATAGTGAAAAATGGAAAAAAAAATCTTAAAAAAAGAAAAAAAGTTAATAAAAAATTAAAAAAAAAAAAAAAATTATATATATATATATATATATATATATATATATATATATATATATATATATATATATATAATTTTTTTTTTTTTTTTCATACTGTCACCAGTCAGTGTCACTGATTACCGCCATGCCAGTTATATGATGACGCTGTACTGCACTGGTGACAGTATGTAAAAAAAAAAAAATTTTGAAAATAACTTTTTTCATTTTTTGATTTTCAGAAAAATTATGACAAAAAATACAACTTAAAAAAACTCGCCATGCCTCTTATGAAGTACGTCGGACTGTCTACTTTGCAAAAAGGGGTCATTTGGGGGATATCTGTACTGTTCTGACATTCTTGGACCTCAAGAAATTAGATTGGCTGTCAGTACTTCAGGATTGATCAATATTCAGATATATATCCCATAATTTGTGAACTCTATAACTTTCCTACAAACTAAAAAATACATCCTAATTTGGGTTATTTTCACCAAAGACAAGTAGTAGAATACATCTTGGCCTAAATTTATGAAAAACAATTATTTATTTGCAAACTTTTATAACAGAAACAAAGAAAAACGTGTTTTTTTTTTTTCAAAATTTTCAGTCTTTTTTTGTTAATTTAGCAAAAAATAAAAAAACCCCAGTGTTGATTAAATACCACCAAAAGAAAGCTCTAGTTGTGTGAAGAAAATTATAAAATTTTAGTTTGGGTACAATGTTGTATGACCGCGCAATTGTCATTCAAAGTGTGAGAGAGCTGAAACCTGAAAAATGGCCTGGGCATGAAGGGGGTAAAAGTGCCCTGTATTGAAGTGGTTAATAGAAATTTTGTATTTTTAAAAATGTTTTCTAGCTTCCCCCAGCCAAATAACATACAAATCATGGGATGTGACTGCCATATTCCTTTCAGAACTTCCAGGTTTCAGTTTTAAACAAAAATAAGCTTGCCAGAAACACTTCAGTAAAGTGGATTCATAATACATGGTCAGCCGTTTTGCATTATGTATGCAGCACTGTCTATAGTAGATGAGGAGTGTTACAAGCACAGTCCCCAAATATACAGAAAGTATTTTGTGCTCCATGGGCTTCAAATGGGTCATTAAATCAATGGTAAAAGACAATCTAACATCCTTATCACACTCTTACACATACTACAGGCAATGTTGAGGAAAAAAGTCAATTAATCCCACACTATGGAGTTGATTTATTAAGGCAAATAGACTATGCACTTTGCAAGTGCAGTTGCACTAATTTTTTCCCAGAGTTTAGTGAATGTGGCGAGGCTTCACTTTGTAAAGAATACCCAATGAAATGCAAGGAAAATAGAAAAGAAAATTAACTTGCACATTATTGGATAATGGAAATCAGCAGAGCTTCACCACATTTATTGAGCTCTGGAGAAAATGAGTGCAACTGCACTTCCAAAGTGCACAGTCTATTTGCCTTTATTTAATCAACCCCTATGTTTTTGGACTGTAGGAGAAAACCAGAGCATCCAAAGAAGAAACCCACACACAAGAGGAGAACATATGCAGATCACCATCTCTATAGATTTGTGCTATATACCAGTTGTTAGATCTGCTAGCCATGACTCGTCCAAGCATGAAGACAAGCTATATACCAGTTGGTTGTTTTTTTAAAGTTGAGAAAAAAAAAGATTCCTTATAAACATAATTTGCCACATATTGAAAGAAAAATAGGTTTAGAACAATATACACACAGATAGCTGAGACAACAGCATTTTACTTACTTAATTTCAATCAACATGTAAGTAATGCAAAGTGCTAGTGCTCCAGCAATGTCAATTAACACAAAAGGATTCATCCGAGGTAGGAAGATACTACTCAGCCCAGGGATAATACCACATAAACTGCAGAGAAGAAAAAAAAAACAAGTCACATTAAACAAAATATGACAATATTTTCTGCTGGGATATTTTTAAAGCAAATCTATCTGCAATTTTTGATTTATAAAAGCAATAGAAAAATAAAAGAGGTTATTTCAGATGGTCCTGAAAACTAATGCAAAGTACAGTAAAACCTTCATAAGACAAAGGGTATCTTGCATTTTTTACTTCTATCACAACTACAAAAAACAAGGTTTTACATTCATTCTGCATTTTAGGCTAGTGGGCAGAGCTGCTGGTTTGTGTAAGACATTAAGAAGCGAAAGATTGTAGAAGACATGCAGCCTAATATTATAGAGCCATTTAACTTCAAACTACATACAGTTGTCTCAAGTGTGGTGACCATCATCAGTACAGTGCATGCAATCCAGGGTCTCTCTATTGAGAAAGGCTTTGGGAGCAACAAGAAAGTGTAAACAGATTGTTTTTTGGACTACTTTCTCTGAGAGCAGGCGGTCACAGACTCACCCTTTGGGGGTGGGTCATTATGCCAGCTTGGGCTCAGTGCACAGCTGCACTGAACGGCGCTCACATGTCATTATGTGACTGCTATTCAGTGCAGAGGGAAGGACTGTCAATGTAGAAGAGAAGGACCCACCACCAGATGGTGCCAGAAAACCTTTGTAAAAACGCAATTGTAAAAGACCCTATTAAGCAGAACACAGTAAAATGCGGCAAACTAGCTTTTTTGGACTTTTTTTTTTTTAGCAAAAAAAAAATTTTTCTGGTAAAAAAAAAAAACACAAAAAAGGCAGCAAAATGCTGCTAAACGCTAATGCAAAAACGCTAAAAAACTCACGTTTTTAAATGTGATTTTACACAGCTAACTTTACCAGCATTATTAAAATGCCCCGCGTGCATAAAGGCTAAAGCAGAGGCCCAGCTCTCCAGTGTCCTGCTAATTGAGGGCGTAAGTCTCTGCTGCAGCAAACAGTAAGTACAAAATAATAAAGACACTCATATTTATTCCTTTGTATGCAGCCTGACTGCACCACAGAAAAAAAAAAAATATCAAAAGGTTCACTTGGGCTTTAAATAGATTTTTCCTAGACTGGTCCTTGACTGCATTAGGGATATTATTCTCCAGCCGGGCAGGAATAAATAGATGTCAACATCTTGAGAACATGTACTATCCAAAGCGCTAAACATTATGCTGCTGATGTAAAACTATTGGAAACTGCAACTGTCACATATAACCACTCAGGATTAACACTTTCTGTGCACAACTACTACAAAAGCATTTTATAATATATACTGTATTTAATAGATATGATAAATGATATACCTTCGACTCAGATCAGCTACATGTTCCTGAAGCCAACTTGTGCTTGCAGCTGTTAGATTAATAAAAGAAATAAAACAAGATAATATGAAGTTGCATTACATACTAAGATTTTATTTAGATGTGTGCATTGCTGTAACAAGCAGTCATGAACTTGCATTCAGTTGTGAACCATCTGTGTTGTAGTTCACTACATCCTGAAATGTGTTGCATGTCCATTAAAATATGAGTTGCAGTACTTTTAACAGTTCATTCAACATGATGCACCACAACTGTCTAAATGTGCCCTTGTCAAACAAAAGAAAAAAAAAAAAACATATAAAAGAAAAACTTTCCTGTCTATAACTTCAGAGAAAAACATGAATCATGAACATTAGGATGTTGTAACTGTAATATTATGGACTTTCACTTGTTACACAATATATTTAACTTGCAACGCTAACATAATAAGGGTTTTTGGGGGGTTTTTTAGGAAACAAAGTCTCCAATGAGATGTGAAAATTACAGTGACAGGGCTGAAAAGAATAATCCTCATCTATGCATAAAGCTTTGATGAGCCTAATGAGTGCTAAAGAATGGTTGGAGCAAAGATGGTAGGAAAAGTACTTGTGCCATACTTAGAGCATTCTTGAAGTAGGGGTAATTCATATTCACATTTAATTAATTCTCTCTGTTAAATAAAAGTGAAGTATACAACATTCAGTACAAATTGCTGCTACAATGATATTCTGCAATACTTTGCAGATGTCCTCTTATGGTTGTCCATTAGAAAAAAGTTCTCAAGCCCAAGATCAATGAGGGGTATATAGTTCTACATTTGAAATGCCATATAGGCACTCCCCAGGTGCTTGCATTTACAAAAGCATTTCTTTGCCTGTGGAATCTGTTTGGTACTTTGACTGTGACATATCATATGTGGTTCTCAGTTCAAACTACTTGTCCTAATGGTAGGATAAGTATTAACCCTTATTTAGCCATAATTTGTTTATATTAACTCTGTACTCCATTTCTTCACTTTTCTTATTTAAAAGGAAAAGTTTGGGATACATAAAAAAAACAAACCTTCATACTTACCTCGATGCTGTGGCACGTCAGCTGTAAGTGTAAGAGATCACATGACTGCTGATCGCTCAGTTCTCGGTTTGCCTGGGGCAGACTATCAGTCTCTCCTCTGGACTCTGCCCCTCCAGCACTCACAGGCACGCTGAACTGGAGAGGGGGTGGACACAGCTGGCGTGTGCTCCCAGCCACGCGTGGAGAGCCGAACGCAGCTGGGTACATCCTGACAATATGGTCAGGATCCTTCCAGAGCTTCGAGCAACTCAGCTGAAGTCAGCTGAAGTCAGCTGATAGCAGGCAATAAGTACAAGCTGATAGAGCAAGTAAGTGCACTCCTGTGACCCAGAAGAGAAGTATGAGCAAAATAGCTTTGGCCATACTTCTCTTTTAACATGTGTACTAACATTTTTTTGTTTTTGTCCATTTTGTCAGTTGCATTAAAAAACCCCTCAGTTCATTGGTAAATAACATTTCTATGCTTTGTATTAAAAACATAAAACTAGAAAAGCAACAATTTCTGGGGAAATTGTGTGAAGTGTTCTTGCCTCCACCAGTAGTCTACAACTGGAGTTGGCGGAGTAACTGGGTGGAGTGGCTTGAGTAACTATTGTGTGGTTGGAGTGGCTGGAGTAACTGTGAAAAGGTTGGACTGGGCAGAGTAACTTTATGGAGTGGGCAGAGTAACTGTGTGGAATGTTTGGAGTGAGTAAAGATAGTAAACATTACACTAACCAATTGATTGATCAAATTTAAAAAGTGCACATGGCAAGCTTGATAGAGTGAGAAATGCATTTCAACTTTTAATTATTTATATAGCACATTTAATTGCAATGTTGTTGCCCAAAGTGCTTCACGGTTACATTAAAACATACATTTATAAAAACATTAGCAGCATTATCACCTCAAATACTTTCTACTGTAAAAAACATATTTCCAAACCTTTAACCAGAAGCCGGCCAAACTGTCACAAATTCAAAATTAGATTTCAAATAGGGCAGAGAAGAGCGGTTAAAAACAAACTGCTTCAATTTGCTCACTTCACTGGCGTCTTCAAATGGTTGTAGTTTTAAAAACTATAAATCCTACAGCGAAGAGCTTTATTTTTGTGAGAATCACAAGACCCAGACCTACATTTCGATGCATAGTATGTCTCTGAAATATTAAAAATGTAGGTACAGTCGCAGTTTAGAAATTGCCCTTTAAATTTGAGGTGGCTATAGTGGAGTTTCAATGAATGTCAATGGGCGGCATGAGTTGCAAACAAATGGTCATATTGTGAATACTATCAGAACTATGGCTTAGCCGTGGACATTTTTAGTGGCAGCAGGTATGGCTGAACGTTTTGATATAAGATTTGTGTAGGTGGGCTTGAAAATGAGGGAGTGATGGCAGTTTAGAAATCATGTCCTGATTTTTCAGCTCACACTCTAGCTTTTGTCAGCTCCCACTCTAGCTTTGAACATTCCGCCATTCATTCCTATGGGACCAATTTCACCACAAAAACGCAGATATTTTGTGAACCATTAGGCAAAACACTCTACAAAGTAATAGTACACCAATCAGGAACAATCCGCATGTTTCGGTATATTACTGTCTATGTAGTGTAAAAACTGTGGGAGGAGTTAGGGTGGTAAATTTGGCTATAATAATAAGAATATATATGTGAGATAACAGTAAGTGGTCTTGCCATGCAAGAACACTTAATTAGTGCCTTTATAAAAAGGGAAAATTGCAGACTAAAATGTCCACTTTAGATTAATTATAAGCTTGGTTTCCTGACAGATAATAACACAGTGGTAATAATGTTAGTATGTAGGAAGTAAATATATATGTGAAATATATTGGTCAATAGACCACTGGTCACCAGTGATAAAGGGGGTGTGTTATTAGGGGTTTAAACGTGCAAGGTTTGGCATTGATTTCAATATAATACAGTTGTAAGGGCTCATAATAATTTAGCTACTGGGTCCTGTGATTTGTGGTTATGCCCTGGCAAGAGTAGTTGATAAATATAAGTCATGACAAAAACCCCATTTTAAATATGAGTTATTATATGTACAAGAAACAGATAAGATATAACACAAACCAGATTAGAAGTTGGAAAGTACATAATAACACAATCCACAAATTAGGAATATCTAGGAAACTGATAATATGTAGCAGTACTCACTATTACTGCTCCTTGGATTTATGTTGTGTACATCTCACCCATCTTTGTTTTTTCAATTTATCACTTGGTGAACAATGTACGTACTGGAGACTGTCAAAACTCTGGAAAGAGTTTCACCTTAGGAGACACATGCTTTCCTGATACATTCATTAGAAGAATTCACAGGGGAACCTCTACCAGTGTAAGGGAAAGGTAAAATCCTTACCAAGATTTCACATGGGAAAGGATAGATACTTGTTGTAAGCAGCTGGTAAGGACTGTGAATTATCATATGCAGTATGCAACTGGTAAGAGTTAAATCACTCAGATATGCATACAATGCACCTACAGGAAACACTGTCAGAATCCTAAGTGAAAAGAAGTTAAAATCCCTCCACCAGCTTTTACACTATGGGGTCATTTAGAAAACAGAGAAATGGGACTTTGAAAACATGGACATGGAAGATTCACCTGTAGAAAATGTTTGTTGAATGTGAATGTTGTCTATACATATGCCCCTATATAGGAAGTATAGGGTTGGAAGACCCAGAACATTCATACATAAAAATGGGATTGTGCTTCCAATTTAACAAGCACCAGCCAGAACCTCATCTACAAAACCGTCAGTATTCAAGCATGCATAAAGAATAGACATGCTGTCTACATTGCTCCAGTACCTCTATATACTGTTTACAGTATGTAAGAGTACAAGCCTTCACAAATTTGATAGGAAGACACAAGAATTATAATTAATTCTTCAACTTTTTTTATGATGAAAATGATGCATAATCCTAACTGCATGAACACAGTTTAGAAACACTACAGGTTTGAGTACAAATCACAATATACTCAAAGTATTCTTACCTTCTGAAACATAACTAAATGGTTTATTTCTAATAGATAGCATGGTAAACAGATTGAAAAACAGAGCCACAAAAGTCCCCACCAGCAGACGGCCTCTGGAAGAAAACCAGAGTTACTATTAATATAACATACAAACATTCAACACTTACAAAGCATTAAAAACTACGTGCAAAATATGATCAAACTATAACTGAATGATGAAACAAACAAATAAAATACATCCAGTAAAAAGAAAAATCAATCAGTGTGGGTAAATTAAGAAATGTGTTCAATTCAATTCCAAGCAGGTGCTGTGAAATCCAGTGAGACAATCCACCACTGTTATGCACTCACCAGAAAGCTACTGGTATAGCAGCAATGTATATACTATCAAATGGAGACTTGAAATCTTTGACCAAAAGGACTTCTCCAGAAAGCTACTGGTATAGCAGCACGGCGTATACTTTCAAATGGAGACTTGGAATCTTTGACCAAAAGGACTTCTCCTAGGGAAGAAAGCTCACCACAGGAGCCCAAAAATCGGTATATAGGGTAGTACTTTATTTAAATAAATGTTTGTTTTACTTTTCCATGGGAAATGTTTTATATCCTATTTAAATAAAGTACTATACTATATATCCATTTTTGGGCTCCTGTGGTGAGCTTTCTTCCCTAGAAGTAATTTTGGTCAAAGATTCCAAGTCTCCATTTGAAAGTATACACATTGCTGCTATACCAGTAGCTTTCTGGAGAAGTCCTTTTGGTCAAAGATTCCAAGTCTCCATTTGAAAGTATATACATTACTGCTATACCAGTAGCTTTCTGGTGAGTGCATAGCGGTGGTGGATCATCTCACTGGATTTCACAGCACCTGCTTGGAATTGAACACTGCTGTGTCTTGTAGTGCAACAGGGAACATGTCTTCATTTACCCACACTGATTGATTTTACATTGACATTTTGCTAGATGTATTTTATTTATTTCATCATTCAGTTATAGCTTGATCATATTTTGCACTTTTATTGTGTTATTTATAATCTTCAATTTGCACTGGTGATATATTTTACCTTTATTTAATACTCAGCACTGCACTTAACATACATATTCCCTTGTGAGATTTGTTGTCACTATCTCTTGTGCTAGCAGCTTTGTGTTCCTTGTATCAGTGCTCGCTAGTTATATTTATACTTACAAAGCATTGGTTTGAGGTTTTGTGTGATTATATTATGCATTATACTATAAACAATAGTAAAAGATAGACACTTTCATTAAGGTATGACTTACTCAACTTGTTCTGACTTGTTCAACTCTGTGTTTAAATCCTCAAATAGATCTTTTATATTACTTTTGTTAGGGTGCAGCTAGCCTTTACAAATTACTATACTGATGGAATAAAGAAGATAAGTTAACAAAACACTTACGCGGAGGGCCAGTGCCCTTGATAACTTCCCTCTTCTGAAAAACCTTCTAACAAGCCTAATATTATTGCTTTTTAATGAGGAGAGCATTTTTTTAAATCACTAACCTGTAACAAATATACAGATTCAGATGTCTGACTTTCCTGATGTCTATACTTGTTGTGGATCAGCTTTTCAAATTAATGAACCCAGAGACAGCTTAGGCAACTAGCATTTTCATAAGGAGATCAGCAATAGCAGCTTATTTGTATTAGAACGTATTTCTTCTAAAGTAGATTTAAAACCTAAACATTAGAATCTCATACAAGCTTTAACATGCTAACATAATTTGAAAAGTAACTCCTAATTCATTGACTACTTGATGATCCTGCCATGAAGGTATTTGTTCAGGCACTTCCTGTTATAAGGTAACAATTCTCTATCCTGGTCTCCTAATTGTACTCCTGTGTTGTTACCCTGTCACATAGGTTTTCTATAGAGAATGCAATTTGCATTTTCAATACACACAATGCAGGCATGGTCCAACATTGTCCCCATTCACCAAGATAAAACACACCCTGAGAAATGCCATGCAGCCATCGTGTAATTGTATGCCTGTAAACAGGAGGTGACTGCAAAAAGCTATAGGAAATCAGCTGCACTGAGATGAGACAAAGGATGAAAACAAGGTGAAAACAAGTATTTTATAATTAAAACATTGCAATTAATGATAATATATAAGAAAACTAAATGTAATTCAGAAAGGGTTTATATCTCCTTAGTAGAAATATACCACATGCTAATAATATAAGCCGTCACCTGGTAATGTAAATTCAACATTTTCACTCTTAAAATATGCAGCATTCATTTAAATAATATCTGATAATCTTGCCATAACAATCCATGTTCAAACACGTTTTTGTTATGTGGTGACAACTCTCAATCGTGCCCGTTTTGTCACCCATTCACATATGACCCTGGTGGAGACTACATGTGGCCATTTCAAAACTTATTGCACAGACTTGGTCTACCATTATCACCACAGTGGAGCAACTCCAGAACAATGATGGGTAGCTTACACTGACACTTTTAGGATACACAGTACTTTGGCAAACTAAATGTCTTCCAGTTGGGGTTTAGATCTACTTTAAGTTACATTTACCACCAGCTTTCAGCTTCTTTTATAACCCTCACCACTCCCCTCTAGTGGCAATAAGAAAATATGCTTTGGTTTAATCTATATGCCTTTTAGGAGCTGAGCTGGGCTCATATTGTTGTATGTATGCACACATACAGGGGCAATAACACAAAAGTTTGTACTAGATGTGTGCCTTATCTACACTGCAGAAATATCTCATGGTAAGCATATGCTTTTATAGGCAAACCTGAAAAGTTCGCTATTAGTGAAGTATTACATGGTACCATGACATATGGGGGGGGGGGGGGTTCTTCTCCCCTGCAGGCGCCGTCTCATTTCAAATCTAATCTGTGAATGGAATTAATAAACTACAAGATCCTTCTGCCACCATAGTCCACTGACATTTCCCCTAGCTTTCTAACTGAAATCCCGTAAAGAGGTACAGACAGAAAGAAGGAGGAAGAGTATACAGGAGTCTGACACTGCACCCATGAAATAATTGCATTTCCATGTTCTGTATACTGTGGGAGACCAGATATAGTGAATGAAGGGTTATGGGTTTAGTAACACTAAAAACAGAAATTGAAATCCATCAAATACTTACGTGTGTATCTCTGGCTGTTCCAGAAATCTTTCAGCACTAAAAAGAACATATTATTATTATTATTATTATACAGTATTTATAAAGCGCCAATAGTTCGCTCAGCGCTGTACATTACAAAGGGAGACAGAACATGTGACAGAACAATACCAATACAATGCAAAACATGAGGGGATCGAGGGCCCTGCTCTTTCGAGCTTACAATCTAGGAGGGAGGGGGTGGTGGCACAGGAGGAGATAGCTGTGGGGGATGGAGTGGTAGGAAGAGTGGAGGAGGTCGGCAAGTTAGCAGGGGGCGGGGTAGGCTTCCCTGAAGAGATGGGTTTTTCAGGGTGCGCCTAAAGGAGAGGAGAGTAGGTGATAATCTGATGGGTTGGGGCAGGGAGTTCCAGAGGATGGGTGACACCCTGGAGAAGTCCTGGAGGCGGGGGCATGGGAGGAGGAGACCAGGGAACTAGAGAGAAGGAGGTCTTGTGAGGAGCGGAGTGTGCGTGTTGGGCGGTACTTGGATATTAGGTCAGAGATGTAGTACGGGGCAGTATGGTGGACAGCTTTGTACATCAGCGTTAGGATTTTGAATTTGATCCGTTGCGCAATCGGAAGCCAGTGGAGAGATTGGCAGAGGGGGGTGGCGGAGACAGAGCGGTTGGAAAGGTGAATGAGTCTGGCAGTCGTGTTCAGGATGGACTGAAGAGGGGATAGCCAGCGGCGAGGCAGGCCAGTGAGGAGGGAGTTGCAGTAGTCGAGTCGTGATATGATGAGGGAGTGAATGAGCTGTTTAGTGGTTTCTGGGGTTAGGAACGTGCGGATTTTGGCGATGTTGCGGAGGTGGAGTCTGCACGAGTTTGTTAAAGATTGGACTTGGGGCTGGAAGGATAGGTTGGAGTCCAGAATGACACCCAGTACTCTGGCCTGCGGGGCGGGTTTGATGGTAGCGTTGTTGGATGTGATGGAGAAATCAATGGGGGGGTGGTGTCCGGGCTGGGGGGAAGACAAGAAACTCGGTTTTGGAGAGGTTCAATTTAAGGAAGTGGAGCGACATCCAGTCTGATATGTCGCTCAGTAGGTGTGTGATTCGGGCTGAGACCAAGGGGGTGAGGTGGGGGGTTGAGAGATAGATTTGTGTGTCGTCGGCATAGAGGTGGTAGTTGAAGCCGTGAGAGTGTATGAGTTGGCCAAGGGAGGAGGTATAGATGGAGAAGAGAAGGGGCCCGAGGACAGAGCCTTGAGGGACCCCAACAGAGAGGGGGAGTGAGGGGGAGGTGGTAGCATTATAGGTAACGCTGAAGGAGCGTTGTGACAGGTAGGATGAGAGCCAGGAGAGAGACATATAATCAGAAAACATGAATCAGATGTATTTAAAGTTTTCCTTTGTTTAAATGCCACCAAAATAGATTTTTTTTACTTTGTTAAAGTGCAACAAGCTTCAAGAAAGTATTCAGAAATACTCCAGAACCAACTAGAGTGTTCTACCTTTTTAGACATAGCAGTGAACAGCAGAATTTAGCTTTTCAGTGAAGCTTTGGATGCTACTGACTAAAACCAAGCTGGAAAGAAGACTGAAGTGATATGCAGAGTCAGATGTTGCACAGAAGTATAAAGCACGGATAACTTATATGACACAGCAGCTAAGAACATTCTTCCAACTTTGCAAAACAATGGAAGAAAATTTAAATTGCATCTAAAAGATTAAACTTTTTAAAAATATTCTTTTGAATAGAGGGAAGGGGTAGAACACCTGGCAGCTTTTTATTGCTGTCCGTGCACTTATTAGTGAGATCATACCATTTCTACTTGTCCTAATGACCACAGTCACTGTAACTGAGAGAAAATCTATAATTTTTAGTTGTCACCAGAACAGTTATAAAGGGGGAAATCTTCCAATAAGAGTACTACTTCTAGTGACAACTAGGACAGGATTTCCCTAACTTTTGGAAAGATTTTCTCTCACTTCCTGTCATGTTTCAAGACAGGAAATAAATGAAAATTTGCCCAAAGGGAAGCAGACAGCAAAACTAAGATTTAACAACCTTCCCTACTTAAAAAAAAAAAAATAGGGTTTTCTTTCTAGTTCATTGAGGGACATAGGATGTCTGTCACTTTTGGGACAAAGAAAAGCAGTCCAACTGAGGAGTGGGCCAAACAGCAAACAAATGCTAATAGTCCCCAAAAACAGCAGAGAACTGAGGGCAGCCTGCAGTTCAAACAGCTGTCTTAAGGACCATAAGCCCAAACATGATATCAGATGAAGCTGTAACATCCACTTGCCAGAGCTTAGAGAACATGTGAACAGAACAGCAGGTGACAGCCTTGCAAAACTGGGCAAAACCTGCTTTAAGTGGTAGTAAAGTGCGTTCTTTGACATTTACCTACAGAGGAACTTATAATAAAGCTTACCTGTAGGTAAAATGAATATCCCCTAAACGTGCACCGTTTAGGAGATATTCCAGAAAGCAGCAGTCTGAGACATCACCAGGGCATGAGCTCTGAAGGAGTGGCATACCCGTGCAGTTCCTTCAGAGCTGTGTGCCGTGCCCGGGCTCCCCCACGCATGCATGGGAGTGAAACCATCGCGGCTCAACCAGTCAACGGCCAGAGCCTGAGAACCCTGAAGGAAGACAGGGTGAAGATGGGTGAAACCCTATGAGCGGTGACAGTGTGCTGCTGGAGGGCTTTGTTTTAAGGTACATATTTCATAATGTGCTAGAATGCAATGCATACTAGCACATTTTGATATTAACTTGCAAGGGGAATATTTTTTTTTTTCCAAGAGACTTTACTACCGCTTTAATTACCCAAAGGCCCAGAAGCATTCACAAATCAGGCAGAGAGCACCTTGACAGAAAGAGGTGGAACCTTGAGACCATAAGCTTGGATGATGGTCTGCCTGAGCCACCTAGAAATGGGGGAACAAGAAGGTAGAGCACCCTTACAGCGTCCATCCAGGTTAACAAAAAAGGAAACCCTCACACCAATGTAGGCAGGGGGCTAAGAGACAGACTCTCTCACAGCCCAAACCACATCCAGTTAATGGATGGAAATTAACCTTTAGAGAACTGAAGTTGGACAGAGGGACAAAAGAAATTCCTGGTTGAGGTTAAAGTCAGAAATTATGTCATCAGTCTGTCTGGGGATTTGAGAAGTTGAATCAGAGAGTTTGAGGTTTCTCCTGTGGAAGAAACACTCTGGCCTGAGCAGTATCCAGGGCTATACTCAGATATGACCCATATTCCAGTGCCAACTTCTGATCTATTCAAACCGCTTTACAGTCTGGACGTGTTAAGGGCACGTTGTCCCACAGAGCCTGCACTGTCTATTCCTCAGCAGGAGGTCATCCAAGTATCCCAAAGTGGGGATGTCACAAGAGAGTAAGTGTGGATTCACACATGTATGGTGCAAATTGAAGTTCTGTTTTCACAGCTAATTGACAGTAGCTGGTCAGCGTTTCAGGTCAGGTTTACACCAGGATCAGATCAGAATTTTATCCTGTTTACAACTAAATGACATGTGAGATTCAGAAGCGTTCCCACAGAAGTCCTGAATTCACACCAAAGCTGGACCGCACTGCTCAGAAAAATCAACAGAACTCTTTTTCAATTCACACTGAATCTGCACTCTGACTGCACTGGACATATATGAACAGGCACAATAGAAAGCAATGTTGTTTCACATGTCATGAGAATTGGATGCGGTTCAAAACACATCCAATTCTCATGTGTGTGAACCGGCTCTAAAAGGGCTAATACAGGGGCCAGCACTTGGGTGAAAACCTAGCTGCAGACTGGTAGTTTGGAGGCCCCACAGCAAAGCATAGGAAACAGTGATGCACTGATGTATTGATGTACAAAAAGTCTCCCTGGTGAAGGAAGGCTATGGTAGACTAGGTAGATTTCATGTGGTGGCAGTGGTCAGGGGACTAATGGTTGGAGAGGCAGATTACACTTGGGTTCCAGATACCAACTAAAACTTTTGCATAGGGGAAATAGCAACAAACCCAGTAACATCTTCTTTTACCAAAGCATGAGGGGCAGTGGACACCTATACTTTGTGGACCAACTAAGGAATCCATACAGAGAAGTAATAGCAATCCAGCAACATCTCTTTTTGTCTAAACACAATGGGTATGTTACATTTATGGAATGTGGATAACTTGTGATTTTATTGGAGAGGTCTCTGTTTTTTAACTGTTGATTATTGGGAGAAAGGGAAAGACAGAGGGGTGCCAGATTAAGTGCAGCATTAAACGGTCAAAATTTATTAGACATGTTCAATTGGCCATGGGACGGCCGATTCCTCAGGCTTCAGCAACACCGCTCAGCCATGCTGTGATTGCCTGAGTGACCGGGATCAGATGGGAGACATCAGTAGGACTTACAGATATGCTTGTGATTTCCAGTATTGAGTGAGTTTCCAATTGTATGTGTCCAATAAATTGTGACCATTTAATGCTGCACTTAGTCTGGCGCCCCTCTGTCTTTCTCTTTTACATACCCACAGAGCCCCAGCTTATTCGTCTAGGGTGCTGCCTTGGATGCTGCATTTAATTTTATCTGATCAACTTGATTTTATATGGACTACTAACAACTATAGTCACAGTTTCTCCAGCACCAATTCCACTTTCTTTTTTATCATGTTGATTGAGTAGTGTACTATGTAGTACCCAGAACGTCTATGTATCTATTGATTTGTGTTTAAAATGTTTTTATGGGATATTGGTACATCCTAAAAAGGGAACAGAACAACTGTATCTACACATCCAAAAGACTTTTATAAAATGGTGATGCAATAAAAAAATAGGGGCATGTAGGTACACGTTTTTGACATCCACAGAAGCCAAAAAGTGAAGGAAGGCAATGGCAGGCATAGTGGATTCCATGCAGAATTTCTAAGTTTGAATGAAGACATTCAGAGTTTTGAAATACAGGATGGGGTGGATGTTCCTATTGGGTTTGGCAACAGTGATCAGGCTAGAGTAAAATCCTTGAAACTGTCCTGACAAAGAAGCTGTGGCAATTACACCTTGGCCTAGAAGACTTTAGAGGGCTTGACTTAGATCCACTAATCTGTGTGATGACAAAGAAAGGTTGGAGGTGAGAAACCGAGATGGGGGCAGGGAGAAAACCTCCCATTTGCAGACCACCTCCTGCATCCTAGCATCTGATATGCAAGCTGTCCAAGTGTCTGCAAAAGATAACAATCATCCCCCACACTCTGAAAAGTGGGATTGTCACCTACATCCCCAAACCTTGCCAGTGAACTCAGAGCTAAGCTTGGGAATAGGGGGATAGACAACTTCTGTAAAAAATCCTGCCCAAACAGATACAAAGTAATAAAAGCTTGTCAGGTTGTTTCCAGTCTCCAAGGAGAATGAGCTGAATAGCAGATGCAATAGAAAAGCCTTTGCAGCTTTAGCGGTGCTAAAGGAATCAAGACTGTAAACGACACTGGTAGAGGCAATAGGCTAATCCAGTAGTTTTAGAGTGGTGTGCACCACACATAAGCTGCACTCCAACCAGCGCATTACGTCAGCACTCAGTCTCACAGCATTAATCCCTTCTGCAGCAAAACAGGGAATTTTAAAAGGCACCCAGCAACTTGTGTAGCTGAGGTTCTTTTGGGCTTCTGTTGCATTACTACAGAACACATTACTAATGTTGGGGTGGTGGTAGAAACCACAAAGCACCACATCAGAAGTATGTTGGATGTGAAAATTAGGCATGCCACTGTGCAGAGACATGAATAAAGTGTCACTTTATACACTTTCTAAAACCTCCAGTCAATAAATAAACAAAACACAGAGCTATAAACCCTGGTGTCCGCAAACTACACTGCTTTCTGTAGACAGCAGCTTTTTAGGCTGTGGGCTAGTGTGAATGGACCCTCATTTGTTAACTTGAACTAATCTGATACAGTTCTACGAGTGACTTCGCTACAATATGTTAACACATCAGACCATTAAAAAAAAGGAATCACATTACAGCAAGGCTAAATATATGAAACCGATGCCTTGCAGCTCTGGAGTCCTAGGGTTAATTACAGTTAGAGACACTATATGCAAGGAGTTTGTTGTGTGCTTCTAGGACTGTGTTAGGGACATTGGATCGTAACTTCCTTCAGGGGGAGACTTACAAAAATAATTCAAGTTCACTGTAAAATGCTGTTGGTATTAAGTTAATATAGGAAATATTGTTAGTATAGTATGTTCTATTATAGCTGAAAAATACTTGTATTTGAATCACCTCACCTTTCTTTTAATATAAACAGTGCACCCAGCTGGGCCAAAACAGTAGAGGCAAAAACTGCAAGCACTTCAAATCGTTCAAACCTAAAGATGAGGAAGAATATAATATAGTGAGTATAATGGTGTATTTTTACAGAAATAGACAGCATAATGTTTACAGAAAGTCATTTTTATGTGACATTCACAATTTACTTGCTTGTTATTCCAAATTTTGATTACTTTGTGAGAGACACAGATTTGTAAATGCTCCCTCTAGTGGTCACCTAAATATCAAGATATAGAAGTATCATTCCCTTTCATGCAGTTATCCTTTAATTATTGCACCTACTCCCCCAAGTGCAGCCACCCTGGTTAAATATTTACCTTTCTCCACCCCTTCCAGGGATATTCATTGTGAGGCCCTGCAGGGAACGACACAGTCTTTCACAGAAAAGATCTCCGAGAGCACTGTTTTGCAAGTGCTTCCCTGGAAGCCGCCATGAGTACAGCTATCACATAAGAGTGAATGGGGAACAGCATGTACCCCATGCACTCTTATGTGATAGCTGTACTCATGGTGGCTTCCAGGGGACTACAGCTCTCACATATTAAAGAAACTGCTGCAGGTAGAACAGGGCTAGACAGGGATGTTTTTGGTGGGAGAGGCTGTGGGGTCCTAGGTGGGGCTGCAGTGAATACTGCTTTAACAAGGAGAAAGGCAAATATTTAATCAAATGGGATGCACTAAGGGGGGGTGCAGGCATTAATTATAGTGTTATTAAACCCAGGACTCTGCATTCACTATATCTGGTCTCCCACAGGACAGAGAAATGCAATTATTTTAGCAAATATAAAACTGCTAAATACACTATATTGCCTAAAGTATTGGGACACCCCTCCATATCTTTGGATTCTGGTGTTCCAATCACCTCCATTGCCACAGATGTATAAAATCAAGCACCTAGGCATGCAGACTGCTTCTACAAACATTTGTGAAAGAATGGGTCGCTCTCAGGAGCTCAGTGAATTCAAGCGTGGTACCTTGATAGGTTGCCACCTGTGCAATAAGTCCATCCGTGAAATTTCCTTGCTACTAAATATTCCACGGTCAACTGTTAGTGGTAATTCTAACAAATTGGAAGCATCTCCTAGATTGTAAGCTCCAAGGAGCAGGGTTCTCGAATCCCTCGTGTATTGTATTGTTACTGTGCTGTCTCGTGTACTGTCTCCCATTATAATATACAGCGCTGAGCAAACTGTTGGCGCTATATACTGTATAGTAATAATAATAATAACTGGAAACAGCAGCAACTCAAGTTGTAGTCCACGTAAAATGACAGAGAGGGGTCAGCATATGCTGAATAGCACAGTGCGCAGAAGTTTCCAACCATCTACAGAGTCAATAGCTAAAGACCTCCAAACTTTGTGTGGCCTTCAGATTAGCACAACAACAGTGAGTAGAGAGCTTCATGAAATGGGTTTCCAAGCCTTACATCACCAAGTGCAATGCAAAATGTCAGATGCGGTGGCGTAATTAAAGCACGCCACCACTGAACTCTAAAGCAGTGGAGATGTGTTCTCTGGAGCGACGAATCAAGCTTCTCTGTCTGGCAATCCAATGGACATGTTTGGGTTTGGCGGTTGCCAGGAGAACGGTACTTGCCTGACTGCATTGTGCCAAGTGTAAAGTTTGGTGGAAGGGGGAATATGGTGTGGGATTTTTCAGGGGTTGGGCTTGGACCCTTAGTTCCAGTGAAGGGACCTCTTAAGGTGTCAGCGTACCATGACTATAATGGACAATTTCATCTCCCAACTTTGTGGGAACATTTTGGGGATGGCCCCTTCCTGTTCCACCAGCACACAAATCAAGATCCATAAAGACATGGATGAGTGAGTTTGGGGTGGAGGAACCTGACTGGCCTGCACAGAGTCCTGACCTTAACCTGATAGAACACCTTTGGGAAGAATTAGAGCGGAGACTGCAAGCCAGGTCTTCTCGTCCTTCTCGTCCGACATCAGTGCCTGACCTCACAAATGCACTTATGGAAGAATGGTCAAACATTCCCATAGACACACTCCTAAACCTTGTGGACAGCCTTCCCTGAAGACTTGAAGCCGTTATAGCTGCAATGGGTGGGCCAACTTAATACTGAACCCTACTAAGACTGGGATGCCATTAAGGTTTATGTACATGTAGAAGCAGGCCCAATACTTTTGGCAATATATAGTGTACCTTTTCTCTTCAGCAGTTGAATCAGTCTTGTGACTTCCATCAGAGCACTGGTTACAGCTTGTAAGAGGAGTTTTCATTCTCCTGTAGGAGGATGCAGAACCCCTGACCTCTATCTGGAGAGTGCTGATTGGCCCTGTGTAATCACATGGACTCCAACAAGAAAAGAAAAGGTGGAAAAAAACCTCTCTATCCATACACACCAAACTGAGCATGTGCAGCTTGCCCCCTAGCCTCTGTTCTATCAGGAAATATTTAGGAGACACTAGAAGGGGAGGATCAGAGAAGACAGGATCAAACATCCTTTTTACACAATATGGAGGATTTAGGTTCCACAGAGTATGACAAGCATGCTTTACTGCATATACAGACAGATTTTACTGTTGTGGGTTTAGTAACACTTTACCCACTGAAGGCCTTCTTCTCCGAGAGCTTTTTTTTTCATTTCTGCAATGTCTCAATTCTGTACTTTCCGGGGAATTAAATCAAATTCCTGTCAGAACTGGCATGCACCACTTGTTTCAGGTCTATCTGCGCCAGTTTCTATTTCAGTGTGAAATAGCAACTAGTGCAGGTCTGCACCTAATTAACAGAGGGGAGAATTGTGGGAGTTTTCCATATAGAAAACTGCCGCAGGTGTGATCTTGTTGCATGCGTCCCTGCTGTTAATTAACAGCAGCATCTGCTCCATTTGTATGCACAGAAGAGTTAATTCTCTAACTCTTTGTTAAATCTCCCCATTCTGTCTGTCTGACACCCTTCAAACACCCCAAGGCAGGAAGTGAGGGCAGATGTCCCCAGTATAAAGACAGCAAACAAAACAATACAGAGATTCTAAGCCTTGCCCATGCTATCTAAAGAAAAAAAGGGTTTAACTGGAGCTGGGATTTAAAGAGAGACTGCCTGCCAAGATTTTTCTCCAGCTTTCTCCTGACTTGTACCCCTGCCCCAAATGACCCAAATTAAAAAAAAATTAGAGAAGTCTTAAAGGAAGTTTAAAATGTGAATAAAATAAACATAACAAATACATACCCAAAGGAATAAGTGGGACTGTGTTTTTTCATCATTACCCAATAACTTATCAAACATGTTATTAAACTGGAACAAGAAAAAAGTCTGGATCAGTATTCAAGGCTGCTAAATCTGGTCATCCTAAACTGTAAAATGAATATAACAGACATTTTAAAAATGCTAAACAATGTAGGAAACCAAACTGTGAAGTAAACTTAATTTCTTCTTAATTTTTGTGCCCCCATTCTACTAGTCCTGTAATTGCTATTTCTGGCATTTTCTTCCACCTACCTGCAGTAGCTTTGGATTTGAAACCTCATAAACCTAGGTAGACAAAACCCATTGGAGGACCCTAAAAGTACACACATCATTGCAATACATATGCACATAACAAGAGCCAATGGCTCCCGCTATCACTATAAAGCGTGTGAGAGCAGGGGGAGCCACAAAAACGGACTCAGCACTGGACCGAGTGAGGACTCAGGTGAGTATAAAGGGGGTGAGGGGGCAATACTGTTTGCCTAAACAATTGCTAACTTAATGCAGGGAATGCATGAAGATAAAAAATGTTTAGGTTTTAGAACCACTTTAGGATCATTCAAAAGACAAGGGCATACTCATTTGTATCTAGAGGAAAAGAGGTGTAATCTCTACATATGGAAACCGTTCTCCATGTTGTGAACATGTAGAACAGTCTTCCACAGGAGCTAATTAGTTTCAAAAAACGCAGTTATTTACCTTTTAAATTTCCAAGAATTTCCAGGACAGCTTCATATGAGAGATAGGCTCCTCCTACCAGGACTGCTGTTTGCAATACCTTTCTGCCGAATGCCTGTTTATTGTTAGTGATCAGGTCTAACCGGTAGTGCTTGGCAAATGTGCTGAAGCTGGACCATGTTGCGGCCTTGCAGATCTGGCCAGGGGAGGCACCATCTTTCTCTGCCCACGTAGCTGTAGTAGCCCTAGTTGAATGTGCTTTCAAACCAGATGGTGGCGTCAGTGTCGCAGTTTTGTATCTTTCTGAGATGGCTTGCTTTAGCCACCTTGCGATGGTGCCTTTAGAGGCTGTGTAACCTTTCCTTGGTCCTTGAAATAAGACAGAGGCTGGACGAGTGACTCCATGCTTTAGGGCGCTCTGTGTGTGCAATAAGGCATCATCTTATATCGATTTTGTTGTAGTCTCTTTCTTTAATGTTGCTTGGGCTCCCACAAAATGATGACATTACAATTTCTTCTGTTCAGTGGAAATGTGACACAACCTTTGGTAGGAATGCACGGTCCGTGTTGAGGATAATTCTATCCATTAGGATTGTACAGTAAGGCCCTATCACTGACAGTGCTTGCAATTCGCTGATTTTGCGAGCCGAGACTAGAGCTAGTAAGAGAGTGGTTTTGAGGGTTAAGTACCTGAGAGAACATTTTTCCAAGGGTTCGAATGGATCCTGTTGGAAACTCCTTAAATCTGTTCCTAGATCCCAGACTGGGCATTTGGGTGCGTATGGGACCCTAGGTCTAGAGATAGCCCTCAGGAATCTGACCATTAGGGGATCCTCCGCTAACTTTTTCCGCCCACCTAGGATGGTGGAGACCACTTTTTCTGATGAGCCTTTTTTGACTAACCTTTGCCAACCAGAAGCCATGCTGTCAACGACAGCTTTTCCGGGTGTGGGTGTACCACTGCCCCCTGTACTAGTAAGTCCTTCCAGGGTGGTATCGTCCACGGGTCTGTTAAGCTCAACTTCTTCAGGAAGGAGAACCATGACCTTTTCAGCCAGAATGGGGCAATTAGGATGACCTTGGCCTGGGACGTCTGTATTTTCTGTATAGTCTGAATGGTGGAAAGGCGTAAAGGAGGTCCTCCTCCCATGGCTGAGCCAGTACATTTGTGCATGCACTTTGAGGGTCTCTTTGAAGGCAAAAGAACTTCTCTAGTTTTGCGTTTCTTTTGTTGGTGAAAAGATCTATGGAGGGAGTGCCCCATCTGTTGCGATTGTGTGGCTGAGTCACCATTCGGATTGATTTCCTCTCAACTTAACTGATCTGCTAGCAAGTTCAGGTTTCCCTTCAGATGAATTGCCGTGATTGACCTTAGGTTTCTTTCTGCCCAGCCTAAGAGGATTACTGCCAACTCCATTAGCTTTGGGGACATTGTACCCCCTTGTCTGTTCAGGTATGTGACAGCCGCCATGTTGTCCGACAGGACTTGAATCTCTTTCCCTTTTATTTTATTTCTTGAATAGCTGTAAGCACTTTGAAAAAATGACAGTAAGTCCCTGAAATTTGAGGAGGCTCTTGCAGTTTCTGGGTCCCACTTGCCTTGGGCAAGGCAGCCCTCCATGTGTGCACCCCACCCCTACATGCTTGCATTCGTAGTGATTTTTGTTGGGTTGGATTGTTTCCATCTTCTCCCGAGTTCCAACATCTGAATGTTTCCCCACCAATCCAACGACCCTTATACTTTGCGCATGAGGCCAATGCTGGAGTTCAAAGATGCTTGGCTGCCATCCCAGTGGGAGAGAACATGATTCGGTATTGTCTAGGAGTGCAGTTGCGCCCATTGCACCCCCCGTATGGCTGCAGTCATTCAACCGACAAGCTTCATGGCATTTCTGATCATGCAAACTAGTGTCCCCCGAAGACTTATTGTGTCCTGTTGTAGTCTGAGCACTTTTTCTGGTGTTAGGTATAAACAGGTGCTTATTGAATCCAGAATATATCCCAAATATGTAATTCTGTTGGAAGGGATTAGCTGTGATTTCTCTGTATTTATTAGCCATCCTAGGTTTTCCAAGAAAGATATTGTATATGCCACAAGACATTTCCCACAGCTTCTTTTGTGTCCGCAAACAAGAGTAGGTTGTCCAGGTAGGGGACAATGTTTATTCCCTTCAGCCTCAAGCTTTGTAGCGCTTCCACTAGGATCTTCGTAAATATCTTTGGTGCTGAAGACAGACCGAAGAGAAGTGCGTTGAATTGGATCAAGAACTTTCTGTTCTTAGGTCCTTTTAGCGCGACCCTCAGGACCTTTCTTGAATCCTCCCTTATTGGGAGGTGAAGGTATGTATCTTTTGGGTCTATTGATGCCATAAATACCCCGGGGGAAAGAATTTATTTCGCCGTGTAGATCGTCCCCATGAGAAATTTTATGAAGTCATTCACTTTTTTTTAGATTGAGTATCATTCTGTACTTCCCGAAAGTCTTCCTCCTTAGGAAAAAATGGGAACAGAATCCCCTTTCTCTTTTTTCTTCCCCCAACAGTCAGACCACATTCTGTTGGAGTATTTCTTCCAAAAGGTTCACGAGTGCTTCTGCCTTTTCCTCCTCCCTTGGCAGTGGAGTCGCAAAAAACCTGTGAGGGGGGAGTTGCAAAAATTCTATCTTGTAGCTGTTCTGAATTATGTCTTGGATGAATGCATTCTGGGTAGCCTGTAGCAATTGTGTGTGAAAGTATCCCAGCCTTCCTCCCACCTGGCTCCGCCAATCACTTGGATTGAGTTTTGGGTTTGCCCTGGTTGGGGTTGAAGAGAGAAAACCTCCCTTCTCCTTCCCTCTTTTTGAAAAACAGCCTCCCTTTCGGCCTCGAAATTTAGCTTCTTTAGTGGAACGCTGCCTGTTGGGACGAAAAAAAAAAAATTTCGTCCTGCTTGCCTAATGGGAACTGGGAATCCCTTCTTTTTGTCAGCAGATCTCTTGAGGACCGAAGCCAGCTCTCAGCTGAAAAGGAGCTTTCCCTCGAACGGCAGTCTAGATTTGGAAGCTTTATAGGATGAACCTCCTGCACTACCTGCCTCTGCAACAAAGAAAGGGGGAGCTGCTATAACCTGACTATATGCTTAGATAGGAATAGGTGTAAATACAAAACAAAATGGTGTAGCGCTATCCCAGAGATACTAAGACTTCATACACATATATAAATCATGATAAACAGTGTAACTCAGTACTGATTAAACCTCGGTCAGCACTCTTCCGGATTGATTCTTATCATTTAATTTTCACCAGTCTTTATTAGGCATTATTAGATGTCACTTTCAGACATCTGGGAGCACATTAATTTATAGTATTAAGGCAGGTTTTTCCACATTTCCATTGTACACTTTATTACACTGCCCATTTTTCCTTGTCAGTCCGTGGCTTTGTTTTCTTTCTTTTGTCTTTTTGGTTTCTTCAAATAATATCACTTACAGTTGCAAGAAAAAGTATGTGAACCCCTTGGGATTACGTGGAGTTTTGCATGAATTGGGCATAAAATGTGCTCTGAACGTCATCTAAGTCACAACAATAGAAGAACACAGTCTGCTGAACATAATACTACACAAACATTAGATGTTGCCATGGTTTAATTGCACATAACATGTAAACATTCACAGTGCAGGGAGGAAAAATTATGTGAACCTTGGACTTAATAACTGATTGACCCTCCTTTGGCAGCAATAACCTCAACCAAACATTTCCTGTAGTTGCAGATGAGACCTGCACAACGATCTGGAGTAATTCTGGACCACTCCTCTTCACAAAACTGTTTCAGTGTAGCAATATTCTTGGGATGTCTGGTGTGAATCGCTCTCTTAAGGTCATGCCACAGCATTTCAATTGGGTTGAGGTCAGGACTCTGACTGGGCCACTCCAGAAGGCGTATTCTGTGCTGTTGCAGCCATTGTTTTGTTGAATTACTTGTATGCTTTGGGTCATTGTCCTGTTGCATCACCCATCCTCTGCGGAGCTTCAGTTGGCGAACAGATGGTCATACGTTTTCCTGCAAAATGTCTTGATAAACTCTGGAATTAATTTTCCTATCAATGACAACAATCCGTCCAGGCCCTGAGGCAGCAAAGCAGTCCCAAACCATGATGCTCCCTCCGCCATGTTTTACAGTGGGGATGAGGTTTTGATGTTGGTGTGCTGTGCCTTTTTTTCTCCACACATAGTGTTGTGTGTTCTTCCCAAACAACTCAATCTTGGTTTCATCTGTCCACAGTATATTTTGCCAGTAGTGCTGTGGAACATCCAGGTGCTCTTTTGCAAACTTCAAACGTGCTATAATATTCTTTTTGGACAGCAATGGCTTCCTCCGTGGTGTCCTCCCATGTACTCCATTCTTGTTTAATGTTTTTCTTATTGTAGATGTGTCAGCAAAAGTGTTAGCATGTGCCAGAGATTTCTGTAGGTCTTCAGCTGACACTCTGGGATTCTTCTTTACCTCATGCAGAATTCTGCACTGTGCTCTTGCAGTCATTTTTACAGGACGACCACGCCTAGGGAGAGTAGCAACAGTGCTAAACTTTCTCCATTTGTAGACAGTCTGTCTTACCGTGGACACATGAACATCAAGGCTTTTGGAGATACTTTTGTAACCCTTTCCAGCTTCATGCAAGTCAACAATTCTTGATCGTAGGTCTTCTGAGAGCTCTTTTCTGCGAGGCATGGTTCACATCAGACAGTGCTTCTTGAAACCAGTAAACCCAAAACAGGTGTGTGTTTTTTAAGGGCAGGACAGCTGTCAGCAACACATCCAATATAATCACACTGATTGGAGTCAAGGTTGGCTCACTCCTGGCTCCAGTTAGCTCTGGGAGAAGTCATTAAGCTAGGGCCTCACATACTTTTTCCTCCCTGCACTGTGAATGTTTATATGTTATGTGCAATTAAACCATGGCAACATTTAATGTTTGTGTAGTATTATGTTCAGCAGACTGTGTTCTTCTATTGTTGTGACTTAGATGATGTTCAGAGCACATTTTATGCCCAATTCATGCAAAACTCTACATAATCCCAAGGGGTTCACATACTTTTTCTTGCAACTGTATGTGTGGTTCAATATTTTCACTGGTTTAATCAGTACCGAGTTACACTGTTTATCATGTTTTATATATGTGTATGAAGTCTTAGTATCTCTGGGATAGCGCTACACCATTTTGTTTTGTATTTACACTAGATTTGGAAGTGGTGTCCCCCTGCCAAGACTTCAGCCAAATGGCTCTTCTAGGTGAGTTTATGAGCGCAGTTGATTCTGCTGTGTATTTAATGGTGTCAGCCAATGCATCTGCAATAAAGGCCACTGCCTTTTCCAAAACTGGTAGCGATTTCATAATTTCATGTGCCAGAATACCTTGTTCAAGGTGAGAACAGAGTTAGCCCAGCCATACATTTAGGGTTCTGGAAACGCAGGTTGTTGCTATCGCTGGTTTAAAGTTTACTGCGGATGCTTCCCACACTCCTGAGGAATGTGTCTGCTTTATGGTCCATTGGGTCCTTTAGGAAGCCCCCATCCTCAAATGATAAATCCGTGCTTTTTTAAATTTTTGAAAGGGGAGTATCCAGTTTTGGGCAAGACTCCCAATATTGACGCATCTTCCTCTTTAAATGGAAATTGCCTTTTAAGAGTCTTAGGGGAAAAAAGCTTTCCTTTCTGACTCCTGCCATTCTCTTTTTATGGTAGACCATAGTGTGGAATGGACCGCAAACGTACAGCCATTTCTCTTTTGTAGCCCTGAATATAGCTGGTCATGCAGAGAGAGATCCAGTTGTTCTTCTTCCAGGTCTAGAGTGTCATAAATTACTTTTAAGTATCTTCTACCAGAAAAAAGAGCCATTGCAACTTGTGATCCTGGTTTTCCATCTCTCCTTCCTCTGAATCCAAAGTGCCAGATAATTCCTCTTCCTGATCCGTTATGATGCCCTGGTCCTTTTTTTTCTTAACCGGCAGGGAGATACCTGAGGTGCTGGGTTGAGGCTCATCTGCGGCCAGTTCTTGCATTTGTTTTCTGAAGTGTTGAACTTTTGGACATTTCCTTAGTCATGTTTTGTAGGAAGTCTCTAAAGAGGGACCCTGACTCTTTCTAAACCAAGAAAGTGTCAATGCACTCCTGGCATAGCTGCTTTTTCGAAGAGCTAGAAAGTCTTTTCTTGCAAGTAGCGCATTTCTTCCTTATCACACATGGAGTCTCCTTCCTATCCTCCTACTGTGAGCCCATCTAAGAAAGGGGGACACAAAGAATATAGGCCCCCTGTAAGCCGAGGACTCCCACTAGGAGGCCACCCGGGGGTGCTCAAGAGAGAGAGAAAAGAGAAAGAAAAAAGAGAGAACTACTTTGGTGCTGGCCTCCCCCAGTTCGGACTGATCTGCCTCCATCCTGGCTGCCTTCTCGCCTTGGCTTCGTTTGTAGGGTGATGGGGCCCTGCCCCCTCCTAGTGTTGCGCTGACCTCCCCTCACGGCTGCAGTGGATCCAGGAGACAGCCGTGGCAAGGGGCGAGCTTGTAGACTGCCACCCATATCCAAGACGGCGGTGTTCCTCTCCCTGTCCCCCAGGCACCGGAAGTGACATTCACATGTCCCAGCGCCCGGAACTGACATTCTCATCAGCGCTCGAGCGTGACATCATCATCCCACTCTCTCTGCCAGGTGCCTCGGCCGAAGATGTCAGCGTCCTGCAGCGGAGGAAGGTAAGCTACTTGCCCCACAGGGTAGCAGCCCCTTGGCCGCCAAAGCAGGCTCCTCCCCCCCGGTGAGCCCCGCAAGACTGCAGATGGGCATGGAAAGAGGGGTGCTGTCTTCCCTAATTCTGCCCCAGAAGGAAATGCCACGGGAGACCCTGAATGAGGCCAAACCTGCAAGGCCCCTGCCTTGCTTGGTAAGGGGGTAGCCTCATCCAGGAGGCCTAGGTAAACAAAAAGTGGATCAGGTATTTGCTAGTGGGAGGAGCTTCTCATGTGAAGCTGTCCTGGAAAATGACTTTGGAAAAAGGGGCTAGATGTATTGTTACATGGATTCTGAAGATGCAGGATTTTTCTTTTAAATTTAAGTTGTTTGACTAAATTCAATTAACATGTGTCTTTTTTTAACCCAATATGTAATATGGTACCACATGTGGGTCTATTTAAAACTTCACAAAAAACTTTTACCCAGGATTCACACATTTTACAATTGAATCCAATCAGAACATGGGGTGAACCTTGGGTGCAAATTGTGTGAAAACATGTATAAACAAACCGCATGGTGTTTTACTCATCCACTTATTTATTACCAATTAGGAAATTATCTATATCGTTTATTTTTTTTTTACTAATATTTTTTTTTATCCTTATCATTGTCCATGTTTTTACTTACAGCAACTTTGTCTAAGCTAAACAAATTTTATGACTAATATTTATGCATAAATGTGATGTACCGTAAGTATTTATGGCATTTATTGTACACTGAGAGGGTCATCTTATCAAATGTTTTTGGTATTCTATCCCATGATAGCTCTAAAGCAGAACTTTTAAAACAGCTGGAAGAGAATAGAGTAAACCAGATTTAAAGTGTTATTAAACCCAAAAACAAAATTGTTTTAAACTGCTGTGTACCAAATCTTAGATGTGGTGGCAACATTATTTTTTTTTGTTTAATCTTTCACCTTTATTTTCCCCCCTTTATTTTCACCTGGTGATCCAGCCAGTAAGTCTGTTTTTTTTCAACTACCGTTAACAGACTAAGCTGTTCAGACAAAACAGAAGTTGAGGGTTGAGACAAAAACCATTTACTGTTGGCAATGGTCAACTTTTATTCATTTATGTAAATGCCCCTGCATGGGCAAAGAGAGAGGCTATTTATAACCACCTGCCGACCAGTCACGTACCTGGTATGTCACTGGAACTCAATGGTTATACTGGGATGACTGCAGCTGAAGGCATCTTTCGGGTACAGTTTTTTTAGAGCTGTCTTGTAATAGCAATCGGAGCGGCTAACTAGCTGCTCAATAATTATTACAAGCAGCGTGAGGGAACGTGCCCCCCCTTCCCGAATGACCAGCTGGCGCTACCGCTACACTGATCTTGATGTGCTTAAATGCTTTAAAAGGCAGGAAGAGCGATTTGAGTGTCTTATTGACCTCAGATCTCTCCATAAAGAGTACCTGTCTACCAGTACCATGTTTACATCCCTTACATCCTTTGTGACAGCAATAAAAGTGATTAAAGAAAAAAAAACAAAAAAAAACATTTTTTAAAGTAACAGTGTAAAAAAACTAAATAAATACATTTAAAAAAAAAAAATGAAAGTGCCCCCCGTGCAAAGTCGAACACACTCGTCGGTCCTGCATACACACAAACAGGGATTGTCCCACACAAGAGAGGTATCACTGTGCAATTTTAAAGAGTGACATGTTTGGTATCTATTTACTTGGCGTAACATCATCTTTTATATTTTCCCAAAAAATTGAGTTATGTATTGACTTATTTTGCAGATCTTACCTGAAGAGGTCAAAGATTGTCAAATAGGTGTAAGCAGTAAGGGCTGAAAAGAAATAATTCAGATTAAAGTGTATTATTAAACATGTAAGATGAAAAATTAAAATAAAAAAGTGTGGTACTAAGAGACAAGTACTCATTACTATTCTTTAAAATTGGGAAAGGCTTGCATGCATATGTTTTAGGTGCAAATATGTATTAGGGGACATAGGATATTGGCATAACACCTAAATTCTAAGTAAAGGCAAAACATTTTTTTATATTTGCATAAAGCAGGAGAGTGTTTCAGCAAGCTGAGTTGCTAATGGGAATATCTCCTTTTATTTTCTGTTCTGTATGATGGGCAGGAAGTAAGGAAATCTCCCCAGCAGGACACAGATAACAAATCAGATAGTATTTTTCTCTGTTCAAAACAAAAAAATACACACTTTAAGATCACTTTAAGAGTAACTGGCTGTTTAATCAATATCCCTGACACAAATAAATGTGTGTAAATACATACCCATACTGTTTGTAGAATTGCACCACGTGAGTAAGAATCCTGTGCAAACCACATTGATAGCACCAAACAGCAAAATCTTCCATGACTAAAGCAGAAAGCATATGGTAAAATAATGTAGCATTATATGCTGTAACAAAAGGTTTAAAATAAACAAACAATTAACATAACATCACATTTAGGAACATTTCTTACGTTAAAACAAAGGAAGAGAGGTAAACATGTTTGAAGTGAAGAGGAATAGGTGCAATGTGCATTGTTTTCTCAGAAATTGAGGCAGATTTAGTATTTGTTTGTAGAAGAATGTAAAGCTTTTTTCAGAAGTGACAATGTGCCTTTGACCTGTAGACCATTAAACAGTGTCATATTTTCAGAACACAGGTCAGTGAAAATTTCATTGTATTATCAGCTTAAAAGTATTGTGCAGGATAGTATACATGTTACCCCCAAGGTCTGCCCTTTGTATGATGATCATTACAGTGTATACTTACTCTGCGGTCTGCAGTCACTAGACGTAACTCCTGCATTACTTTGCCAAGCAGGGAGCGCTGTGTCTTCCGAAAAAGGTGTATGGACCCCTTCAGTAAACAAGATAAGTATGTATCATTATGAAAAGTATAAGTTGATGGTTAATGCTAACAAAAAACACACCTTTAAAGGGCAATTCCAAACAGCTAAATGAGCATTTAAAATACATATATAGGAATTGTTCACAGGATAAGTTCACCTTTGTAAAAAAATAATAAATAAATGCACATTTTTTTGCAGGTAAAAATAAAAAATGTGCATTTTTATTTATTTATTTTTTTTAATTAGGAGCCTGCAAAGAATTGTACCTGTGGTCATCAGGCTCCTGCAGATTGTCAATGTAGCTGTCTGCTAATTCCTCGTATGGGCAGGTGGTTACTGAATGACTGGAAGCATCAATGAACCACCTAGAGAACTCATTAACGCCCTGGTACTTCATTGAGAACTACAAGTCACTCGCTGCATTGGCTGATGGCAGTTGTAGTTTGCCCATTCACAGAAACTCATGGCTGGGTAGGTGGAGCTTCGCATGGCTGCTTTTTGTTTTTTTTTTTATATAAAGGTGACAGCGAGTGTGGGGAGAAGATCCCTAGCCCACTGTCACACTGGAGGACTGGGGAGAATGCAAGGGCTGCTGCAACAGTAACAAGTTACAGCCTGAATACAGGTGTAATATGCAAGGAAAGTTGAATCTATCCTTTAACAGTCCAAAAAAAATAACTGTACACAAAATGTAATGCACATATTCTTGTGATCCACTTGCTACAGCTGCCCTATAAAGCTGTAAAGGATAAAGAACATGAAATAATTTATCAGAGCCTGAAGTGCATCTAGTCCATGTCACTGAACCTCCTTCCTCTGAATATGAGTGCACTAATTACACCCAACCTGAGCTCTCACCCCATTTGCTTCTGTGTACCACCTCACAGAGAATACAGCACTTGAGCCAGGAGTTACATACTACCATCAGAGATGAGATTTACTTTTTGGTGATCAGTTCACCCCAAACTAACTGGCTACCAAATGATGAGTACTGGTAGGATGAATCACTCAAATTTATTTATAGATCTTCAGGAAACCACTTTGGTAGAGTTTTCCTGAATTTCTGATTCTACCACACATGCTGTGATGTGTCAATCTTTATGCAGCAGATAATCATAATTTGAAAAACGAAACAAAAGAAGAAGCTATGTGTGGTTGTGAAATCGTTTTATGGATTAAACATAACAGCAACTGAGAGATATCCCCTTCCACCTGATTTGTACACAGTACAAGGAATATCTCCTAAATGTAGACCATTTAGATGATATTCACTACTTATGCGCACTGCGCTCTTTTTTTTTGTGGAGGTGGCAGATGCTTGTGGGGAGCTGTTGTTGGTGTTGGTGGGGTGGTGCTGCATACTTCCCAAGTTAGTTATCCAAAAAATATATGACAAAATGTCATTACGAATCCACAAAGACATCAATATGTATACACACACACTATATTTTACCAAGATTTAGACTTTCATGACAGAAAAAAAACAACCGACTACTGTCCGTGATACTTTTTATTTGCATTAACATTTACATTTTCAGGACAAGCTTTTGGGGTTTTAATTTTTTCTCTGTCCATGCAATGATGCATCACGTTTTAATAACAGGTTAGGCAGGACAATCCCCCCCCCCCCCCCCTTCACACACACACACACACAAGCCAGCCAAACATGGTCATTTGGAACAAATGCAATAGGATACAAAGGGTTGCACACTTGAAAACTGCATTCACTTTATTGGCAATCATTAAAACACCATATACAGCAAAAGTACACCGTGGGCGTTAGCGCTTATTCATAACTTACCAAGTTTTACCATGACTTACCAATAAAGTGGATGCAGTTTTCAAGTGTGCAACCCTTTGGACCCTATAGAATTTGTTTCCACATGTTTGGATGCACACTGAGTCAAACATGGCTCCTGCTGAACTAGCTGAATTTCGATCCATGTATGGGAAGGTTGGTTGTACAGAAAGAAGTCATCTATCAATCGACTTCTATACAGCCAGCTTGTCAGGTTTTGTCTGCTAAAGTCAGCAGCACTAATCATTGTATTCTGAAGACAGAGAAGTCTCCCCACCGGCAGAACAGAATAGCACACTGGAAGTTATTTTCCCCACTTACATCAAGTGTTTCCATGGGGAAACTGGATTACTTTTTTTTTTCCATTCAACCCACTGGTGTTAAGTGGAGTTAAAAACCGGAATTGAGAACAGGAGATTATAACAGGAGTCTTCTACTCAAAAGTAACAACTGAAATTTCCTGTAATATTAATTTTGTAACTGGGAAAATGAGCGCTAGCAGGGTTGAAGATTTTGTGCAGTGCACAGTGTGCCGCATGTATACAACAATGGAGCAACAGCTCCAGAATGGATATCAGATGTAAGTGGGTTGCCCTTCTGGAAGCTCACAATAGAGATCTGGAGTAGCAAGTTGCAACAACGGGTAGAACGGACAACCTTCTAATAGGTCTTTGCTCACTGGTTAGTGGGGTTGATGAGGAGTGGCAAGTCAGGATTACTAGGTAGGAAGATGGCTTAATGTAGTCAAAGGGAGTGGTGGGGGCTCAAAGAAAAGGAAGGCCAGCCCTGGGTTTGAGCACCCAAACAGATTTGTTAATGTGGGTGAAGATGTGGGGGTGTCAACCCTAGATATCACTGCTATCCCTAACAGTCAGAAGAGCAGCCCATCTAGTACAGGTGGTGAGGATAGTGCAGGAAGGCCTAGACAATTGGTGGTAATAGGGGATTCTAGAATAAGAAGGACTTATAGTTACATAGTTAGTCTGGCTGAAAAAAGACAAAAAAGTCCATCCAGTTCAAAAAAAAGTTATAATCCTACACCCACAGTTGATGCAGAGGAAGGAAAAAAAAACCCAGCAAAGCATGATACAATTTGCTCCTGCAGGTGAAAAAATTCCTTCCTGATCCCCTGAGAGGCAATCCAATATTCACTGGATCAACTTTACCTAAAAATGTTAGTTTCCAGTTATACTCTGTGTATCCAAGAAAGAATCCAGGCCTTTTTTAAAACAAACCACCGAGCTGGTCAGAACCAACTCTTGAGGGAGTCTATTCCACATTTTCCCAGCTCTCACTGGGAAGAAACCTTTCCGTATTTGGAGACTACATTTCTTTTCCTCCAGACGTAAAGAGTGCCCCCTTGTCCTCTGTGATGACCCCAGGGTGAATAACTTTACACCGTGTTCACTATATGAACCACTGATGTATTTATACATGTTAATCATATCCCCCCCCTTAATCACCTCTTCTCAAGAGAGAATAAATTCAGTTCCTCTAATCTTGGTATATATAATCCCAGACCTTATATCGTTTATAAATATATTAAAAAGTAAGGATCCCAACACTGAACCTTGAGGTACACCACTGACAACCCTAGCCCATTCAGAGTATGAATCATTAACCACTAGTCTCTGAATATTATCTTTTAGCCAGTTTTCAATCCATTTACATACAGATTTTTACAAGCCTGTAGACTTTACCTTACACATTATCCGTGTGTGGGAAACTATAAAACACTTTTTGAAAAATCCAAGTATACCACGTCCACCGCCACTGCTCTGTCCAAGTACACCACATCCACCACCACCACTCTGTCCCAGGTTTTGCTCACCTCCTCATAAAAAGAAATCAGATTTGTTTGACAACTTCTGTCTTTTATGTATCCATGCTGTCTATTGCTTAAAATATTTTTTTCCAGCAAGAACTCATCTATGTGGTCTTTTATTAACCTGTCCAGTATCTTCCCAACTATAGAAGTTAAACTAACAGGTCTATAACTACTTGGTAAAGATTTTGACCCCTTTTTAAATATTGGCACCATATTGGCCTTACGCCAATCCAGTGGTACTATGCTAGTCATTAAAGAGTCCCTACAAATTAGAAACAATGGCTTTGAAATGACAGAGCTCAATTCTTTAAGGACTCATGGGTGTATGCTTTATATTCACCTTTATTCTGTTTAAATATTTTTGGATCACATCAATTGTGAGCCAATGCGGATCATCTGGAGCTGTGTCAATATCATGCCCATTATGGACAAGAGCTCCCCCATGCTCCTTTGAATACACAGAGCTGAAGAAAGCATTTAATAAATTTGCCCTCTCTATAAAATAATTTGTCACCAGGATCACCCCAACCAAATGGTTTGCTGCTCCCTGGTGCCAGGGTTTGGCATGTGGTGGACTGGGTTGGTAAATTACTGGGAGGGGCTGAGCATGACCCAGCGGACTTTTGTTCACGTTGGAACCAATGACATGGTAAGGAAGGTGGAGGCTCCTTAAGAATCAATTTATAGAACTAGGCTGCAAGTTGACAGGAAGGACCTCCAAGGTGATATTTTGTGAAATATTACCTGTTCCATGCGCAACTCAAGAAAGATGGGGAGATTAGAGTATTGAGGCAGTATTAAGGGCAGGGAGCTACCAAGATAAAGACTTGGTGTAAGACAGAAGGATTTGGGTTTCTAGAGCACTAGGCTGACTTTTCATTGGGGTACAACCTATATGCTAAAGATGTTTTCACCTAAATGGAAGCTGTGCTGGGGAAAGGTTAATGGGAAGGCTGGAGGAGTATTTAACCCTTGATGCCGACCGTACGCAAATATGTGGCCTCTCGGCGGCTGGGCCTTGACGGTGAGCGGCCGCATGTTTGCGTACCATTTGAAAACACATATGTGCTGAGAGCGCCCTGCACGCTCCCAGCACATATGTCAGTGTCTCACGGAAAGGTCCCAATCTTCCTTCTGATCGGGACCTTTTCCAATCATGTGACCGCTGTGACAGCAAATCACAGCAGTCACATGACCCTAAAACCCCACCCCACCTCCCAGCATCTGAAACCGCTTATAGGGCAGGGAGGCACCAGCGTGAAGAGGTTAAACTAGGATTGGGGGGGGATTAGATTACAATGGGGCAGACAGGTCATACAGGGGTCAGTCCCTATTGGTGGGTGGAATGGAGAAAGATGGAGGGCTATGGCAGTCAAAGGTTCTTA